GTTTCTGGCTGAGAATTCAGCCTTTTTAAAGAAAAAAGAAGCTATTGCTTCAAACTGTTCTGTGGGCCTGGCAGAGAAAGCAGAGGAGGGGAGATGCCGAATCTCTCAGGCTATGCCAGAAGGAAGCGGCTTTCCTTGGAGATTTCTTCCCCCTGCAGTTGACTGGGAGACATTGTTTATGTTTTACCTGGTACAGGGCCAGAGGTGGCTGAGAATTCAGCCTTTTTAAAGAAAAAAGAAGCTATTGCTTCAAACTGTTCTGTGGGCCTGGCAGAGAAAGCAGAGGAGGGGAGATGCCGAATCTCTCAGGCTATGCCAGAAGGAAGCGGCTTTCCTTGGAGATTTCTTCCCCCTGCAGTTGACTGGGAGACATTGTTTATGTTTTACCTGGTACAGGGCCAGAGGAGTTTATAAGGCCTCCTTCCAAACTCATTTTGTCCTTGAGATCAGAGCCTTAACTGTTCTCACTGTCTTTTCCACTCTGCACCCACCTAAGGAAAGGGAAGCTGTGCATGTGTATTAGTATGAGCTGAATACATGCACAAGAGAGTTTGAAGGCAGTCCACAGCCTGGAGAGTCTGTGTTTGGTTGGTAAATGTTAAAGTCTGTAAGGATGCCCCGCTACTCAGCGGTGGTGTGTCGAAGTGCAAGCAGGGAAAGCTAGGGGAGCTGTGCATCGGGGCACGGGTGCTGTCAGGCTGGTGCTGCCTGTTGCGATACAGAGGTGTGTGAGTGAAGGTGGTTGGACAATGATACAGCTTTTGGATACGTACACTTACATAGGACTTAGTGGACACGTGCATATGTGCTGTTGACAGACTATATTTGCATGCATTTGAGTGCATTTTGCTGAGTACAGAGGCATGTTTGTGAGTGTGAAGAGCAAGAAGAGAGTACAACTACTGCAGGACTGATGTCTAAGAGCCAGGGGTTGCTGTGAATTTACCATATCCCGATCAGGACTGCCCTGTGACTGAAGTCCTGCCAGTTGGCTGCCTTCACATGTGTCCTGCAGCCTCAACATTTGCCTTTTAAAATAAAAGCCACTTGTGATGTATTCACTCTCTTTTAAGTCTGCCCGGGAGCCCTGGCTGCCTTCCTTACCCCTCTCTCATGCCATGTCTGTCCACAGTCACTTCTCTCCCAGGCAACACCCTGACCCAGAGGGCTCCGGAGTGATGGATGACACGGCAAAAGGCTCCTGAGAGGACAGACTGTAACGTTATTGCAAAAAAACCCCCTCTAACTCCAGCCATTTTAAAGGTGGATTTGAGGGGAAGGTGGAAGGGGAAAGGATGGGCTAAAACGACTTGTCTCCCCAGCTAGCTCACTGTCTTCCATGCCCCTGCTGTCCCACATCTGCAGCTGAGAATTGGCCAGACAGCCATCCTCTGAAATTACTCCATCACCCTCAGGCACTGAACATGTTCTTTTTTGTGTAAGCGGACAGCTAGTGCTCTCCAGCACCGTTGCCCTGTGTTGCCCAAAGGATGTCCAGGAGAGCAGATTCTTCAGGGCAGAGGCACCTGCCTTAAGGAGAGGCACTTCTGTTGCCGGGGGGTAGTTTCTGCTCCTGCTGCAAGAATGCTCAGACAGTATTGAATTACATGTGTGGTTATTCATAAGCTTTCCTTGTTATCTTCACTAAACTACCTGCCTAATTATTGATCTTGTGTTTTCTGCCCCCTTGACAGTATGCCAAGGCACTGAAGCATTTTGGAGAGAGCGAGGGCAAGATGCAGCCAGATGAGTTTTTTGGCATCTTCGACACTTTCTTACAGTCATTTGCAGAGGCCAAGCAAGATCTGGAGAATATGAGGAAGAAAAAGGAAGAAGAAGAGCGCAGGGCACGCATGGAGGCCATGGTGAGGACCTGGGCACAGGAGGGTGTTTTCTTCTATCACCTTTTCATGTCTCAAGAGAAGAAAGGTTGAGAGCGCCAATTCCAATGCTCATGTCCTGTCACCGTAACTGTTTTATGTCCTTCTCCCTGCCACCTCTCTTTCGCACCCTTCTCTTCACAAATGATGACATTTTTTCCTGCTGGCTGTCCTGTCAGCTCCCAAGGGCATACTGTTTGGCTCCTAAATTACCCTCTTTTGGATTCAGGTACCAAATCTAGTCCTGCCTGTTCTGCCTTGGCACTTTGCAGGATGGTGCTGCCCTTGCCCAGTGCCAGACTATCCTGCTTTTGGGCTGCAGGCTCTGCGCAAAAGCTCTGGGAGCCAGATCTCCCTCGGTCCTACCAGCTGGTCAGTTTCCACTCAGACTCTGTCATCTGCTGCGTGCCTGTCACCTGACAGCGTACGGTGACACAGCGAATGCCCTGGCACCTGCTGCAGTGCATGCTGGCAGCATTTCTCTCTGGCCAGCCTTAATGCTTTGATTACTGGGGCCACGTCTGGCCTTGATGGGTGAGAGAGCTTTTGCGCATTGCTGATTTTGCTGCTGGGAGACAGACGTGTGTGTGCCCAGGGGTTCATGTGAACCAGCCTCCCCCTCTAACCTCAGCCTTTCCTGAGGCCTGAGATTGGCTCAGCAGTCCTCTGCCTCCTTCCTCCCTGCCGACGCTTTAAGCCCAGCTGCTGCCCTGGCCCCAGGCGTTGCTGTTTTAAATGTTGGCGGTGCCAAAAGCACCAGGTTTTGTGGCTTTCAGAAGAGGAGAGAGGTAAAACACCAGGATGCCAGCAGCCTTACTGTTGGACACAGGGATAAAATGCCAGGACTTAGTCTCAAGTTTCCTCTCAGCCAGCCTGGAAAGTGCAGGAGCCCACTTAAAGCACTAGAATGGTTTTGTTGGCCTAATACACCATGAGAGAGGTTGCGGTTTGCTTATGGAAAGTCTTCCTGCAACGTGGGGCTAGCATGCAGAATGAGCAGACCTGCTTCCAGACAGCCCCATCCATGCCCTGCCATTTCCACTAATCTTGGAGCTGAGCAGTGGGGAGCGGTAACTGAGCTCCCTGCAGCTACCTTAGGGAGACCGAGGGCATCACATTAACGGTGGACCTGTCCAATGATTTGTAAAATCAGCAGTTCTGTTTCATTGCTCTTTGTGTTTATAACCAGTTTCTCCTTCCAGAGTCGAGGCAACGTGCCTTCCTCTTCCCATCACTGCAACATGCTGCCTCCATCCAAACATAAGCTGTTTGGCGGATAGAGTTTCTGTTGATGTTTTGATATCTCACACAATTTTCATTCTCCAGTATTTTTAGCTTGTGGCTTTCTGGGGTTTTTCCGTTGTTTTCCTCCTGCAGGACTGCAGCCTTTCTGCCTGTCAATTTAGCTAGCTATGCCCCAAGTGCAAAGCTGTTTGTGGCCATAGTAGTGACTGTGGTTTGTACAGACACATCCAAACTACCTTTAAACTCAATGGGTTAGGTACTGTCAGTATAGTAGGTGCTGCCACACTAAGGTCACTGCAAGCCTGGTCCCAGAAGCTGGGTAATTACCTATGCCAGCATCACTTGTAGACTGTCATTTGGCACAACTACTTTACTGGCACTATCCTGCTGTAAAATTAGTGCAAAACAGCAGCAGCATAGACAGATCCCACGTGTCCTCTTTGCTCCAGGCTGGTGGTGCTTTGTGAGGCAAACATACGATCCTCCTCATTCCTCATCTCTCCTGCTCTCTGCTTCCCTGTGCAGAAGAAGGGAAGCCCAGCATGGTCGCCTGTTGCTCCAATCTCTTTTTTTTCCTAAACTGTACTGATGCAGCTTAGCTGCTTCTTGGCAGTGTACCTAGTGATCTGGCATCTCGGTCAGCTAATCCTAAAGCTCTGTGTCTTTCTCCACAGCTAAAAGAGCAGAGGGAAAAAGAGAGACGACAAAAGAAAGCAAAAGCTGGAAGCATCTCTGAAGAGAGCGGGGAGTTTGATGACCTGGTGTCAGCATTAAGGTCGGGTGAAGTCTTTGACAAAGACTTATCCAAGCTCAAGCGTAACCGCAAGCGTTCGGGGAACCAGGGCTTAGAGACAAGCCGGGAGCGGGTGGTGACAAAGCTAAATTATTAATTACAAGAGGAAGAAAAATAATCAACCAAAAGAAGGTGATGAAAAAGTGCAAAACAAGGAAGATGAATGTGTGCGATGGTGCCTGGCTGACAGCTGCCCAAAAGGATTTCTTTGGTCTGTGGCTAGAGACATTACCTTTCCATGATCAGCTTTCCTCTCATCCCTCTTCTGTGCTCCTAATTTGAACCATTGTAAAAGTGCCTCTGTGGAGCCGGCAGGGCCTGTGACTGGGCCATGCACAGCTGACAGATTTGCTTCTGGGAGTTTATTGTGTCATCAAAGGCCTCATGGTGATGACAGAAAGTACTTGGGCCTTGCAGACTGCCTCACAGCTGGAGAAAGAAGATTTTCTGTGTGCCAAAGTAAAAACTAGTCACGATCTCCATCTTGCTGATAATAAGCAAGACTCATTTCAGAGCAACTCTGTTAACAACTGTCGCTTCTTCAAGGTCTAGACTGGCCTTCAGGGCCTTGTCCAGATGTCATTCTCAAGGTTTCCAATTCCCTTCCAGAATTGGATTTTATAAGCCATTGGTTAGCACCTGAAAAATGCATTTGATCTCATGTTCTGCATAGTATTTTTGTGTGGCCTACACTGTCCAAAGCAAGTGATGCTCAGACGGAAGCATCAGGTTCTGCAACAAATTGAAATTCAAGAATCAGGATCAACATCAAATACTTTGCAAAAGTCTTTTGGATTCTGCTTTTCTAGAAGCAGTTTTCTGGAATTTGTTGATGGTTGAGCCTCGAAGCTATGAAATGCATCTTCTAGGAAAGAAGCTCTGGCTTTTCTTTAGAAAACTAAGCCACTACCAGGTCTGGATTACAAGTAGAGGACTCTGGAGCCTCTTGTCATTGCTGCAGGGTGGGAGGGAAACAGCGGAACCCTTCTTACCTGTTTGTGCAAGATTTCTTAGTGCAGCCCAATGGAAATCAGGAGCTCCCTACTATCATCCACAGGTCACAAGTAGCAAAAAGCAAATGGGGTCACTGGCTGCAAGAAATAAGATTTCTTTTCCACTTGATGCTAGCTGTGATTGCTGTTGGCATGAACTAGTCTTTCTGTCTAACAGGCTGATCTTCACTGCATGCACCCCACTCCTGCCTAGGGGAATCACATAACTCAGTAAGATATGAATGGTGTTGAAGGAGAGCCTTGGAGTCCGCAGCCTTTTTCATTTTGAAAGGATCACTTGGGATGAACCGTCGGAGGGTCCCATGATGAAAACTGAGAATTTTTCCAGGAGGACACAGAATTGTGGCAGCTGAGCAGGCTTTGGAGATGGGTTAATTCATAAGAAAAAAATAAATTGTATTTAAACTACATGTATAAAGCACACAGCGGAAAAGCAAAGAACCCCAAGAAGAGGCCTGAATTCTGAATTTTGTGTGTCTTCATGGCTCTAGGAAAGGGATTGGATTGTGTGGGCTGTCATGGACTTTTTTTTTTTTTTTAACTTGTCTTCCTTTTTTATCATCTTCCCTGGAGAAGGAAAAGAGAAAAAGAAAGAAATGGTGATGAATTCTTCCTCCTCGACAGGAAGAAAAGAGAACATTTGAGAAGAGGGGACTCAACCATATACAAACTATGCATCAATAGTCAACAGCACAAAATGTCAAAGAATCCCAGGGAAGTGAAAAACACTCTTATTTGTCACTTTAAGCATTTAGTTTGATTTTTCTCTGAATGTCACTTAACCGCAGGCTCTGCACCGAGTCTGCAGAACAGACCTTCCTCTGCCATGCACGCTGCCTGATCAGTATTACACACTACCAATATTGGAAAAGCAAACTGTGGTGGTTTTTTGAACACTTTGAGAGTAAAATAATTATGTAGACTATGGAAAGAAGCAAAACAGTCAGAATTGTTAAACTCTAATGTTTCATTGTTTACTGAATTTTGAGACTCCCACCCCAGTATTTCCCTATTCACGACATTCCAGACTACCGCGCCTCTGTATAATACTCATCGTAAAGAGCTGGTATCTTACAAGAGCTGGGTGCATTCTCCTCCCTTACTATCCCACTCCCCTTCTGGGATTAGCTATTAACAGCAATGCCCGTTGCAGTGGACACAAGCACCTTGTAGAACAAAGACTGTATTTCATAAAGGTTTTTGAAAGTTTAAGAAAAACTCTCACTTTTTTAAGCATTTTTATTTTAATTTACAAAATGGATTTTTACAAATGTCTCTTGTAAATTATGTTAACAAGCTCCTTGCTGCTCCCTGAAGTAGACATGCTATATCCCAGCCCTTTTTGTTTGTCTTGTTTTAAAGCATGCCATATAATCTATGCCATGTAAGCCATATGAGAGGTGGTAATATGTGCCAAATTGGTATACAGTTGAGTATAGATTTGGATAATCCCTGAATTCCAAAGAAGATGCTTGTAGGGATTAGAACATTTTAGGGTTTTTTTCCCCTCTTTGTTCTCCCTGGGTTTAGGACTTACCCAGAAATTCAGGTTGTAGTGCCAAGGTCAGCCCTCGTGCAAGATGATGTGACTCATGGCTCTGTCCAATTTACAGCTGCTTGCTTGCTCCCCAGGTACTTGTTTGATAAGGCAGACTGTCAGCACGGCAGTGCTGTCAGAGAAGAGACACCTCAGGGCAAAACCCTTGAATATAAATACAGCAATCCCCCCGCCCCAGTATTAGTCAAACCAGGTTTGTGTTGTGCTTTTTGAAACTGAATTCACTTTGCCAGGCCACAAATGTAGCAAAAGCAAAAAAGAGGGATAAACCCTCTGTCCATTTGTGTACACAGTTCAACCCTCATTTAAAGAAATCCTGTATGATGGTACGTGGCGCTCTGGCCACACGGACACAGTCAAAGAAAGCTGCTGTAGTTTTGTCGCATCCTTGACACATACACAAATAATACAAGATTGCGCAACTCCTATAAATCTGCTGTGGGATGCTTACTGGGACTGACAGACAGCTTAGAGTCGTGCCCTTGATCCGCTGCAGCTTGACCTTCTCAGCACTCCAGTGCCCCAAACTTGTTTCAAATCTGTGATGGTGGCATTCATTCAGCATGCTGGAGAGTCCTCCCAGGCTCTTGACTTCATGGTGCATGTTCATAAAGAGGGTTTTGGAAAAGCTCAGTTGCACACTGAGACAAGCAGTGATTTCATACAAGTGGTGACAAGCGGAGAGGCCCATTAATAGGTCTACTGTATGAGATGTGGCTAGCCATACAGAAGATAAGGAAAAAAGTTGGCTCTGCTGTAGGGCCTGGTGTCAGATTCTTGCTGAAGCCAAGTTTATCCTTGTGTGTCATCTCTTAGGTACTATGAGTGCATCTATGTTCTGTTCTTCATCAACAGTTGTGGTAGAGTTGCTGAGGGCTGAAGGAGAAAGGAAAAATCTTATTCCTTGTCTATTGCTAGCAGAGCCTGAGCAGGTACAGCAAGCAGTCATGAGGTATAACATTGAGGCATAACCTCTTTATCGCACTGAGAGCTGGAGAAGAGCTACGGTCTGCTGTTGGCCTTGCACCTGTGCCTAGCACCAGCATTTTAAGTGAAATCACTCTGTCTTTGGAAATAAGAGAAGGAGGAAGAGATGTGAGAAAGAAGGGTATAATCAAGGGCTTGTTCTGCTTCCTGCAGAAATGCAGTCATTGCTAACTTTGTGATGAAGTTCTTCACACCTAGAAGAGGAGGTACTTTATAGTTCTCCAGACTTTGTCCCTAGAGGTCTAGTGCTCACTCACCTCTGTGTCTCTGCATTGTTCTTAAGCAGGTTGCGTTAGGATGACCCCAGAAAAGACTGAAGAACTCCCTCCCTCTCCCATTCCCTTTGGTCTGGATTGCTCTTCTCAGTCAGTCATTAAGTCTCTGGAAATGCTACAAGGTAAAGTGACTTCAGGGCAGCAAGGCCCTTCCATGCCCTGCAGCATAGCTATCGTCCAGGCACCGGTTCCCTATGAGAGCAGAAGTAGTTCAGGGATGAGAGACTCCCCACTAGGGAGGCAACCTGGGCATCCTTCAGAAGCATTTCTGTAACGTGTTCACAATGTCCGAGGAAGGGAAAGGAATCGTGAGGGGCCCTGGAGGGAGACTGTGGGGCAGGTGTTTCTGTAATGGTCAGCCCCACTGGCTGAATCTTTCCTCTTCTTTAGGAAAGCTCACACTCTGAGCTGGGCTACATGGGAGAAGTTTGTGTCAGGAGTTTCTGTGAGGGGAAAGGAGATCAGTTGTACAGTTGATGATGTACATGATATATGCAGTTTCGTTTCTGGGTTGGTTGTTTTGGGGTTTTTTTGTTTGTTTGGGGGTTAAATGATTTTAAAAAAATATTTTAGGAATCTCTAAGGGGAACCTGTAAATCTGACACCTCTATTTATTTTGCCTTATTTTAGTTTGCTATGTTTGTATGTATACACTGCATTACAGCAAAGACTATTGAGACCGTGCCAGGGCATTACACCGGCTAGACAGCTGGCTTGGCTATTGTGCAGCAAGCTGAGCTAGGCGAGGGGATGTGTGTGAGCAGTCTTGGTGTGGGAAGGGAGGGAAGAAAAAACTTTCCTTTTGCTTCTGTCATAATCACACTGGTCCTGGGAAAGCATGCATTTTAAAGCATGTGGTAAACCGATGCAGGTTGGTTATTTTAGAACACTTTCTATAAAACCTGTTTATTTCTCATCATGAATCACAGTGGGAAGATTGAGAAAAGTAGATCTGCACAGTTGCTTGCTCAGACTTCACCCTTCCACACAAATTCTGGCCATAATGCCAGAGAAGCTTGGATAGATAGGCAAAAGCAGTTCATCCCTTTTAACTTCTCACCAGAGTTAACATGCTGGTGGGACAAACTGGGACAGTTCTCCTTCTTAGAGCTAATATTCTTTCCTGTCTTCAAGACCAAGGAAAAAGGATTTCCTATAATTCTTCCCTCTCTCCTCCTTCATCCCACCTCCCCAGATTATCCAGGGTAAACAAAATCTTTCTATTGTTTGGTTTTCTACCCATGGAGTCTCTAGCAATTACCAG